ACCAAGGCAAACATAGGATCAAGAGGTCTCCAGGAAACTGCACAATATTGACACAGTCAAGGTCACACATTGATTACGCCTGAAGTCTCTTTTGAAGACTTGTGGCTGGCTAGCGTAGTGCTTTAGTTGAGACAACTAGATCCACAAAGGGGGCCTCTGTATCAAAATGTCCAGTTTACTGTATCTGCTTAATAAATTTTTTAGTACTCAGACTGAGCATTTAGGATCCCCCTTAACACTGGAAGAGAATCAGAGGATATTAGAGAATATAGTTCAGGATAAGTCCCATCAAAGTCAGAGAATCAAGATAGAAATTGCCTGTTAGAGGGCCCTGACAGCAGTAATAGGCCTTAGCGGCCCTGACCAGCCTCAGCTGGGGTCTCAACCCCACCAGCCATGGGTTTGTTTAAGCCTGGCTGCTGGGCTGTGTCAGACCCTGATTACCCTTATTGGGCCCAATCCTGACCTTGTGTTACTGATTTGCATTTCCAGCTTCACCTCAGAACTGTCTCATCATTACAGACTTGCTTGATTGACCTAGACTCAGCTGAGTGGGCAGGCTGGGCTCTGCCCTAGGGATATTATCTGTGAAAAATCATTTTAATACAGTACAATCAAATATAAGAATGACTGCTCAAAACACTTTTTCATGGCATGGAGTTTTTCCAAGTACAGTAAACATGGCAAAGTCCAGATTATTTGATACAACTGCTCAAGCAGTGGGTTGTGAAAAAAAAGATCAGGAGTTATGACCATAACATTAGATCTTGATTCTGATGCAGATTTTAAAAGCTATTTGCCACTATGGCACATTTTCCTCTCTTACTAATCTTGTGTCTACCAACCTTTTAAGGCTATGAAGATTTCATGGAAGTCCTGGAGATGTGCAGAAGCAGAATTCTCTGTGTTTTGATTAGCTACAGAAAGGTACTTTTATGAGGCCTCTTCCATGGTTATACAACAGTCATTGACCTTAGGTCTCATAATCCAGACTCAGACTCTTCCTTGTGTACTATAATACAATAAAACACACATTACTACACTAGGTGGAATACTTTTTAAGAAGAGAAAGGGGACTTTCAGTACGTTAGTAAACATTTTATGTTTTGATTCATATTAATTGCTGTTATTAATAGGTCATAACTTCTTTCAATTTGTGTGGAGTTATAAAGCCACCAGCTGATTTTAAGATAGAAATGTGTGTTATTGCAAGATACCAATTTGCCATAAAAATAATCAGAATAAGACTTCTCTGAGGGAAATTTGAAAGGCTCGCTCTAGATCCTGATCTCCTGTCAAAACTTCTTTAATTTCCCTTTAAACATTGTCACACTAAAATGTTTCACAAACCTCACACAATTTACAGCAGAAGGAAAGCTTTCTATAATTTGACCTGTATTCTTTTCAGCCTTCTGAAAAAACAAAAATTCCCCTATTTTGTAATCTTGCAAAAGAGATTATCCCATATTATGAGAAATAGTTCGTTATATATTCAAGGGATAGTTTTGCTTCTCTTTCCTGGCACTGGCTCTGTCGTAGGTGCTAAGGAACAGAGAGGCACTCATGGGACAGGATTTGTTCAGTGCCGAATGGAGGAATTTGACTAGAAGGAATGCTGCTTAGTGCCTCAGCTCCCACAATTCCCAGAGTTATTACACCAATGCTATTACTTGCAAGAATGACTAATAAAGAAATGCATCCCCCCTCTTTGTTCTGAGCACTACAGATAGGAATTTCACTCCTGTAGCAACAGCTCTCACAACAGCTTCTGTTTCAGTTAGTCCCTGCACTTGTAAAAATGTACCTACAGTAGCTGCTGCGTGTTTCAGTCCTTCCTCAGTTACCTGGTTGAGTAGATTCTGTGGGTTGTTCAGCTTAATCCAGAATAAACTGCATGGCATAAGGCAGGCAGCATACTTCAGTTCTAATGCAAAGCACAGCAATCCACACTGTATTTTAGTTACTATCATAAAACTAGGTTATCATAAACTACACATGATGAATATTCTCAGGAACAATACACAAAAGTCTTCACAATTATTTACCGACTAAACCCGTATCTGACTTTGCATAATAGCACAGTTCACCACTGTTAAACAAAGATGACATTTTTTAACTTTTACCTCGTTTATCTTAATCTTTTGGCAAGCTTTCAACATCAGTATTCCATACAAGGCAAACAAAAACTGGACATAACAGAACATCAAGGGAAGGTGAATAAAGCCGTAATATTAACTTTAGCACAGAAGCCTTCCATAAGGAATTCATGCAAAAAGAAAAAAAGGTAAGTTATGCAGATGGTTCTATTTGAGGAGATAAAACAAGACAGACTCCACTGCCTTCCAGTGCAAAATACTGAAACTTCTCAAAATTACTGTTGTAAGAAACAATTTTCAGACAGAAAAAGTTTACCTAAGTGTTCTGAAGTAACAGTGCAAACAGAATGAATCTCATCTACACATGTAGTCATCAGCTCAGTTTAATATTTATCAGTCATTAAAAATACTATTTAATAACTCATCCCTTTTAAACATGTTAATAAAAAAAATGAACCTTAGTGGGAAAATCAGCATGCTTCATTGTACTCAAAAATAGTGTTTCATGTTTTCTGGGATAGCTTTATTATGAAAGGGCAAGAGACATTTAGTAATGACCATGCAGGTATCACAAAAAATTCCAAGAGATTAACAGGTCACCGAACCGTTCAAAATTCCTTGCAATTAAAAAAAAGAATATTCCTGATTTCCCAGGTTTCTTGTGGCAGATACTGTTTTCCTGTCAGAAGATTGTAGCTATCTCTCGGATCGCTTGCTGGATTCCCTAAAGAATAGGGTAGTGGGATATTCCACAGCACAGTGCTCTTTTGTCTGTTTCACAATCCTCCCTTAACTCCTCCCAACCCTCACAAGTAGCCCTGGTGGGGGAGGAATCTGCCCGAGACCATTGGCAGCTGAAGAAAAACACAGAAGGGTCAGGTTAAAAAAAAATAAATAAAGCTAAGGTTTTGCAAAAGGGAAGAACCTTATTTTCAACATTTTCAAGGTCTTAAGGCTTTTAGCTACTGTGATGGGAACCCAGTCTATGGCTGAAACACACCAGGTTTTTCAGTAACATAGCCTGATCCCAGCTACACAGTGAAATATAATGAAATACAGTGAAAATGGCAAGCGATAGCATGATTCACATTAAGTTGAAACATAGTTCAGTTCCTTCTTCCGTGTCAAGGTTCCAACAAAATATTGGCTTTATACAAAATAGAAGAGATTTTACAACAGCATCTGTTACCGACCAAAACTTGAGACAAATTTTGAGAAAAGCCACTGGACAGTAAAGCAGTAGATAATTTATTCTAAGAGTTTATCTGCATGGAAAAATAAATATGCAGAAAAATAGGCTGTAAATCTACAGCTCAACAGTCCATGGGACACTTGCTCACAGTGCTAAATTCACACTCTAGTTTTTTATGGCATAAATCCCCTGGGTAGATGACCTCTGACATTAGAACTGCAGAAATAAAAATAATCACTGTTCAGTTTTAAATGCTTTTAGAGTCAATTCTAAATAACAAAACAACTGCTGAAGCTAGAAGATCTTACAATAAACTTGCAAACAGAAGATGATCTTTTAAGGTCTCTTCCAACCCAAACCATTCTATGATGTGAATTCCTTTTTCTACTTATGTAGAAAATACCACTTACTGTGCAGCCCAGATTTAAATAAAAGACAAATAGTGTATCAATAATATTTACTATATATTTACATGTAATACTGTGATGAAATGAAGGAGTCAATTAACATTGTTACAAAAAGAACAAAACCCTTTAAAGGTACCAGTACCGTTCACATTGTCATATTTACGGAACCGTTCTCTTACATCTCAGATGATTTAACACGAGGATACAGACAGATAAAACCTGGAATTGAATCATGTGCTAACTTGCCAACTCCCATTTCAGCAAGGTACTTCAGGGGCACCAATTTAGAGCACATAAGCAGCACTGGTTTCAGTAGGATAAAACTTAAATGCACACCCCAGTTCCTTGCTGATCAGGGCCTCATTTTATGGGATTCCACTGACAATACAACAAACTAAAAGAGTTATAAGCATACACGGGGAGGTATCATATACCTTACTGAGTGACATATACATATATATATATATATATATATATACACACACACACACACTTTTACTTAAAGGTGAGTCATAGCTGGCTGCCGATTGCCAGTTGTGGACTTACCAAACAATGGAATCATCCCTTCAATTTTATACACACTGCCATAAGAGACTCGTGTTGTGTGATGCTTTGAACCTTATGTGGAATCAGCTCTTTAATTAGAGCTGCACCAGTTTGTGTACCTGACATATCTAGCTAATTGAGCTGCAATGGAAAGTTTTATACTCTTTACAGATTACTTAAGAAATGGTAATATTACACTGCTTAAAGTTATACATTTTTAAATTGCTTGAAAACTGAAAGTTTGATATAATCATACAATCATTTTCTTAAATTGGCAGGATAAATCTATGCAAGTGAAATATTGGCAAAATAACATTTAAATAATTCAAATTAGAACTTAAAAATCATCAGCAAGCCACAATAAAAATTCTAACCTGCTCTCTCCTTTCCTATATTCCCTCCCAGAATAAAACTGTACGGTGGACAAGAAGGATCGATGTGACACTTTGCCTGTGTTAATCCAGTTAGTAAAGCAGATGTAGGTTCAAGTATTTAAATCCACACAGCACTAATAAATAGAAGTAAACAATCAGAATGAGAATATCATTGTAGTTAAAGTACTGCAAAAACCCTTTGTTTCTGAGTGAGCACCGTTATTATATTATGCTATGGTTTTGGAACGCCAAAAAGGGGTGGGTGGGAGAGGAAATAAATATTACTGATGAGAAATGTACTCAGACCAGATCACATGCAAGTCTGAATGTTACAACAAGAGAATGTTACAAAATCTGACTGAATAATTAAAGGGGTTTTTTTTCCTGCAAGTTTTGGAAAGCATTATCTATACTTTATGTCTACATTACATATTTTGCTCTGCATATAAGAGCAAACTGTTACATCTGTTTTTTCACTTCCCTCATCCCGAGGGTCACACACACTCTCCCAAAGTAAAACACTGATGGTTTGGTTACAAAATTATACGCAGTACATTTCTGAACACAGTTCCTTCCATTTTAGGCCATGTGCTCATTTAAAGACATTCTAATCAATTACAAGCCTCCCCTTTAATTGCTTAAGATCCAATAGAAAAGCAAATATACAAATATCAGAAGTGCTGATCCTGAGATGAAGTATGGGAAATTCTGGTCCAGTTTGATCCTTACTCAAACTTCTGTTTCAGTTTCTTCTGGAAGACAGCTGGTAGGATGGAGAGGATGGCTAGAATCATGAGCACAAAAACAGAGTTCCAGGAAACAGCTTCCCCTGCTGTGGTGAGTTGGTACAGCGTTGTTCCTGCTTTAATGGCTACAAAAGACGGTGGTGCCACACCTGGAGCAGCAAATTAGAAGGGTAGGAGGGCAAAGGAAGAAAAACCCGTTTATTAGGGTGAAAAAATTTGAAGAAATCATAAATTGGTCACCCATTTTTTAACAGAAAAAGTTTCAGACTTTGAATTTTGTATTTACACCCCTCTTAAACAAACAAGGTAACAAAGGCAAAAAACCCTTAACAAAGGAACTGTTTTGATGCAATTTTTAATACTTTTAACACCAACTCAAACACAGAAGACCAATAACATAACCTCTGCTCCTTCAGACTCTGCAGATTTCAAGCTGTCTCTCTACAAATGGATTTTAGGGAAATGGATAAAGGGAAAATATAGATCGTTTCCTGACCAGATTAAAAAGTATTTGTAAAACTATGCAATGACAAAACTAAAGTGTTTAGCACTATGTTAGTTAAATTATGCATTCATTCCTACGAAGAGATATTATGATGAACAAAACAGAGTGGGAAGTGGACAAATAATCCTTCAGATCAAAGTCACATACATCCTCACAGAACTATGCTGAGCTCAAAATAGGAACTTATAGGAGTTCGCAGAAGTATTGTAGTCATGGAGTGGAACAAATAACTAATCAAGTCTTCATATAATGCATGTTTCCTTAAGAAAGTAATTGGCTTGGGCTCATTACCCCTCATCCAGTATATTAGAATAGTCCTGACTGCTAAAGTCTTTCGATGCTGTCAATTCTGCACACTGGAAAGTACAAAAGGAATAGTGTTTTGGCTGTCCAGTAGGTGGGGATCTCTGCTCAACAACACTTACAAAGGCAAGCAATATCCCTTCTCCTGGCTACCCCCAAATGGCAGTTCACTAGCCAGAATTCTTACCTAGGAAAGTGCCAATGAAAAATACTTTCAATGGCACATTAATTACAGGAGATGTTATATTGATAAACCAATTGGGAAGAAAAGGTGTTATCCTCAAAAATATGATGTAGTTAATGAGGTGTTCTCTGTGACGTTCAACCTGCCAAAACAAAACAGAAAATAAGTTAAAATCCCTGCCTTGAAAATACACCATGATTTACTATTAGAGGTTTGTTAGGGGTTTGGGGTTTTTTTGTGTGTCTGTTGTAGAAATTTAGAAGCTGCAAACATAAAAATCAGTTAAACAATGAGTGACTCAAGGAAGAGTCACCAGTGAATCACCTTAAACAGCACTGAAGCTAGTCTGGAAATACCAGTCTGTGGTAGAGCATGGTGATGATGCATCTGAGTCAGCCAACTTAAACAGCACAGCAGCAGGCCTAACCCTAACTTTAGTGCAGCAACCTCATCCTGATCCTAAAGCTTTTGCAAGAATTAGCAATGAATTTCATTCCTCAACCCATTCTGTCCTAACTCATGATCAAATTTGAAGCACTGCTGTATTCCTCACTTGGAAACATACCCAGGTCATGGCTCTGAATTTTATCAGGTGGCTGCTGCCAGCAGAGTTGCAAAACCTATCTACCCATGCATTAGAATGCCTAGCATTAACTTTTACCCCGGAGCAACCACAATAGCCCCAACTTTATTTACAGTCTTATATTCTCAAGTCTAGCCTAGCTCCTTACAATAGTACTACATCAAACCTCTTCTCCTTCCAGCCTGGCTTTAGCACACCAGCCCTTTCAAACAAGAACTGTTATCTCAAAGCAAGTTGTAAGGATAGCAAAGCCACCCACCACTTCTGGTCTACCCTGACAGACCTACACTAAGCCAAAGTCTGAACGTGATCAGCTGGCCCCAGACAGCTAAAGCCAAGCCTGGTCTGACTGCAATGCCATCTGAAATCTCATGGAGCAACTTCACCCCAGTCACAACCCTGTTTTCTCTCCCATTTTCAGCTTTGATTGCAACACTAAAGTCAGTAGCCCTGCTATAATACCATTGTGGTTTTTTTCAATCTTAGTGAACGAAAAATATTTAAACACTAGTTAAACCTGCATATAATATGTCTTAACCCTCAAAACACAAGCATGATATAGTCCAATTACCCTGGAAATAGTGAGTTATTTTAAATTACATACTCCATTCTACTAATAGAAATAGTAACCATTTGCCTCTCAGAGAACAGTGTCAAGATTTTACCACAATATTAAGATTTACTTGTGTCAAGAACCAAAATATTACTATACTATTTAATAAGGTCAATTGTGCAGGACACAGCTCCACATCTTACCTAATGAGGAACAAGTTTAAAATACTTTTACATGAGTAAAAAAAACCCTGAACAGAGTATAGTAGTAACTTGTACTTCATATTTGCAGAAAAAAAAAAAGATCTGAACATGTTTCAGAATATTAAAGAAACATGAAGTCAAGTACTAATCACACCATGATTCTCTACTGCAAAAATCTTTAACTTCACCTGATGATTAACACTTGCTGAAACTAACCTTACCAGGCACTGTAAGAGAAAGTTTCTAAATGCTCCAACCACACCACCACCTTCAAGTTAAGGTTTTGCAATCAGACATACAGCTATGGGTTATCTTCCCCTACTAAAAAAACCCAAATCACAAACCCAGTTTTCATTAGTTCTGATGCTTAGAAAGCTATTACTTTAAACTGAAACTGGAGATGTTTCCTATTGACATTAGCTAAACCAGGGGAACAGCTTCCTCACAGGAAATGCCATAAAATCAGGAATACTCCCCACTGTTTAAAAACACTCAAAGAAAGTAACTACACAGCATCAGAAAGGAGTCAGAATCCTTTCTTCATAACTAGATACATAAGCACGAGACCCCCTAGTTTTCCATGCTATTCCACTACACATTTGTTAACATAAATGTCAGCATCTTTAGAAACTTTACCTGTTCTGACCATTTTACTGCTTTTTCTGTTAAATATCTGTATACAACAGGACGTCCCACTAGGTATGAAAGCATATAGCAGAATGAAGCTCCAAGTCCTGAGCACTGGGGAAAAAAAAACAGGAAGAGAAAAAAATGAGCAGAAATTAAATAATCACGTCCTTATATACCTATTAACTCCACTGGCTGGATAGAGCCTGCTTCTATGAGTCTGAAGAGCTCTCCTTCAGCAGATCATACACACTCCCCAAGAACGTTACTGGCCCTATGCAGTTCCTTTATTTCCAAGTCATTTAGATCAATTTTAACATCCAAAGTAGACAATGTTGAGTGCTTCTGCAGTTTTAAGAAATTGAACAGTGAAAGCTTTGCAAATAAGGGGCACAATGGCATTAAAGAGATTCAGACTTAAAAACTCATCAGCTTGGTCCTCCATAGCTACTCAATTATCACATTCTGAGGTATCAAGGCTCATTATGACCACATCTTTTGCGTATGACATTTTTTTGAAGCTTTTCCATAATATACATTTCCTATCATAAATTAAGCTTCTTGGGTATTTAAGCCATTTTAAAACAGATGGGTTTTTCGGTGGGAAAACAAAAATGCAGTAATGGTGTTTTGAAATTAGAATCAAGTTCTGGTGGAAGCTGGACAACTTCAAAGTAAAGGAAACTCTGGCTGATTCACACCCAGTTGCCTCCATTATTAAGAAAACTTAGAGAAACAGTTTACTCTTTTGTATCACCACCCAATGCTACAGTGAATTTTGTAGGTAACATCATTGTCACAGAGCTGAATGAGAACTCATTTGTACCTCTATTTCACTCAGACTCTTTATTTCAAACAGGAAGCTGTTTAGATGCTTGGTTGTATTCCAAATGGATAGAAATACATGCTCTCACAAACTCTTTTCCATACTTACTAGACAAACAAGAAATAAGGCCAGTGGAAAGGGATAAAGAAATCCTGACAGGATACTGAGAAATATAGATCCAGGGATAGCAAATGTTTGCAAGCTGGAGACATCTCAGTTAAGGAAAAAAACACGTTTTTTAAAAAGCTACTCAACTATTAATTTTCTAAGCAGTTAGGATACATATTACAATATGAAAAAAAACATAACTATAATTAGACATAGCCTTTAAAGATCTTTACTTCAAAATACATTTGCAAAGCAGCACAAGAAGTAGAAGCACAGAGAAACTAGGGGTAGCTTCATCATACACATCCAAAAATAAGTCACTAGATAATAAAAGCTGTACTACATTTTTCTCTTGGTTTGTGCTACAATTAACACTGGGGATTTACTGTGACATTACAAGAAACACACACTTCTGATTTTACATTGCTGATGAGAGTTATGCTGATTTCAGCCATTCTCTCTGAAAAGCTCACAGAGCTCCTGTCCAAGGCCATAACTCCCATGAGTTTCACGGAAGGCTGACATTGATGAAGGCAACTGCTACTTTCTTACAAATAGCCATGGTGCAGCCAGTAGATAAATAGGAAACATGATCACTAATTTCAGTCAGAATTTTTCAAAAAGCTAAAAATTACGTTTCTGCAGCGTAAGTGAACAGGCTGTTGGGCTTAAGGCTTGGTAGGCATACTTGAGACTATGATGTACTGCCCACTTCGGACAGAAGTCTTATAAAGCAATAAAAAAAGAATGCACACTTACTTTGAGTTGAATTAACTGAAATATCAAAAAGTTAAATAATCCTCCTTAATATTAAGACCATTAAAACCAGTACAGCTTTTTCTAAGCAAGAGTGAGGGTTCTGTGACAGCTGTAATAACATGCTTGTCAACTGATCAGTCTACTGCCGAGACAGTAAATGTCGTCACATCAGCTGCTACAGTAGTTCAGTAAACCAATAAGCTCATTCTGTTCTGCTTCCTGTTAATATATAAATGAGCATCTTAACTTTCTTCATAAATCTATTATTTGTGAACACAACAAGAACAAGCTAGAGGATAATTACTAATGGCACATTCAGCACTGTCTTTTCCTCAGAGTTATGAAAGCCTCCTGCATTAAGCTATGACACAGACCTCTTATACGACTTTTAAAAGTTATTAACCTTTAGTTAAGTGTTCCAGTTAAGAATGTGTTTAATGATTAATTAATATGTTCAGCACTCAGGAAAGAAGTTAACACAAAACACTGGTAGCCTTTGTCTCCCTAGACAGAAAGTACTTCAGAAATGTAGTACACTCTAAAAGGAAATAGAGATTTTTTATTTTTTTAAATGTGGGCACTGCAGAGACGAAAGAAGGCTCAAAACACTTTCCTTCAGAGATGCTGTAAAATATTCTGTAAATTACTCTTATATGGCACTTTTGACTGCCTCAAGGAAGAGCAGTGCAGTATTCTCAGTTTTCCTTTAGAATCAGCAGTAACTTCTAACTGGCAATTCAGTTTGCAATTTAAAAAGTTAGCGTAACAGTGGAATGAGACCAAGACTAATATCAAAGCTAAAAACGTCCCTGACAAACACAGCCGAAGTGAAGCTGCATGCAAATTCTCAACAGCATTTACTACTATATATGCATACATCAATTCTCTTCTACTTCTATATATGCATACATCAATTTTCTTCTACTCCCTCCTTTCTTAACAGCCCAAAAAGTATACTGAAACACACAGAAATATTTCTTACGTTCAAAGATTTTGGAATATTTGTGTCTATATATATGTATGTTAGCCTTCTTTACCCATGATCAAGAAGTTTGTATTTTTCATTTATTTTTTCAGACAAATATGACTACTTCAAAATTGCCTTTTATATCAGAAAAAGGATACAAAACATATGTGGCAAAATAAGCCACTAATACTTGAACATAAAATGTGTCCTTATATTTGGACAGGACTTTTCCCAAGGCCTTTGCATCATCCATATCTCTAGGAACCTTTATACATTCTCTTTCTTCCCTGGGGAAAGAAAAAAAAAAAGCAGGAATAAAATAAGTAAATATAGTCAAACAGTACAGTAAAAGCACTTACAGAATATATAGATACATTACATTACTAAACTACAACCTCAGGATATAAACCGCAATTATTGCTGTGACAATGCTCTCAGATGAATACTTAATATTTGCACTGTGTTTCTGTTAGAAAATACTCAATTTTAGATATTTGCAAACAATTTTTTATTCATTACAATAATCTGCTTCATTTCTAGGAGATTTTTTTTCTTATCAAGTACCAATCAAAAGTAAATAATTACTTCAACCAGACCTTGGCAACTGAACAGCAGTCAGCATTTCAGCCAAAAACAACTGTAACTGCCTCAACACTAGGGTCATAACATTTGAAGTGCAGTAAGAGTAGCACAGCTTTACCTCACAAACAAACAAAGCTTTAAGAGCAAAATCTCTTGTCACACCTTAATCTGGTGCAACCCTGGGCAGCACAATTGAGCGTCCTCTCTCCCTCTGTACCAGTCGTGGCCAGACTGTTGCAAATTGAGTTTGTCGAGCAAGTTAATCAGACTGAAAATTAAGTACTAAAAGAAAATAAAACTGTCAAGAGAAGCAGGCGTCTATCTTGTCAAACTATCTGTCTTTCCAGCACAAGTACTAGATGCAACAAAAATGGGAAAAAGAACGTGAAGCTTAGGCATGAAGGAAGAAGGATGTCCCCTTTTGATGGCAGACTGCAGTTATACCAGTGGACAAGGAATTGTAAAATAAACCTAACCAAGCATGTTTTGGCTCTCAGCTGAAGAAGGTTAAGAACATAGTTACCATTGCTAATGTGACAAGGTGTAACTTTTCATAACAGAGTAACTCAGCTGTCCAACAGAAACCCTAGGTCAAGTATACCTCTGTTTATACAGATCTATCAGTTAGTACTTCAGTATTAAGCATTGTATCCTGACATTCTAGGTTATAAACTAAAATTTCCTTTAAAAAAAAAAATAAGGTGATGTCTATAATTAATTAATGTCAATTTAAAAATCACGTAACCCCATGTAGGCTTTTCTACAATTTGATACTGAAGGAAGAGCAAATAAATTAATCTTTCATTATATACTTACTCACTAAGTTGTGGGAAATTTTTATATACCAGGAACATAAGGAAAGCAGCTGATAAGAAGATGGATACTAAAATAAGAAGTGATGTCCGAGCTGATCCACCTTCTGCCTGAGCTTTCCCTGAAATCAAACAAAAACAAAGTTAAGGAAAAAAACCAAACCAAAACAACAACAATCACCACCCCTCACATCTCTCAACAAGTTCCAGACTTCTACTTTAAGTAAATGTTAAGGTAAGCTCTCTGTGGACATTAACTTCCCCCCAATGCTTTCAATAACATATGCAATACATTGCTCACGGTCCCTGAAAGCTTGCAAACAAACCTGAAGTTCTTACACTTGCAAACATCCTATAGAAGACAGCTTCTATGATCTGTAATAATTTAAGCCTCAATTAATAAATCTGTAAAGAGAAAAACAGAGCAAAACAGAGCCATACATATTTTCTCCTTTTTGCCAGAAGTCTTCTGCCAGTTTAGTTAACCAGAGATTTAACCTTGAAGTTAAACCTTCAGTATGTACATTGCAATTTTGAAAGAGGCTCATTAAGATCTTTTTTCCCTTGGAAGAAACGACACCACGCAAAGCCACCAGCCAACCAGAGGAGACACGCTCATCAGAAGGAAACATATTTAAACACACACCAGGCTGAGATATAAAGATTACAGTTCTCAGACTTGGGAATCACACATATTTTACACTATATAAAAAGACTGGTTTGGATATGTCTACGTAAGTTTTTATTAGGCTTTAAATCCTTGTGTAAGGGAAGTAATGTGAGTACCATAAGTGATACATTTTAGGCCTCTTCTGTATACATTTTTACCAGTATGATTCTATATATATATATACACACACACACACATATACACACACACACACACACAATACACCGATTGGCACCAATGCGGCTAATGTGCACAAAGAATTTTAAACCAAGAAATAAACAGTAAGAACTCTCTGCATCCACACTAGGGTGTGTACATGCGCATATATTAAGACTCTCTCCTCAGACACTGCTAAGCTAGCACAACTTTGCAGCAAGCATCAGCCTTAGTCACCTGAAGAACACAAAAAATACCAAGGCTGTATTTTCATTCGCAGATGCTGGAGGCATGACTACAATGCCAACGAGCAACATTCAAGCGGGTCACACTGCCACCTCACTGTTGTGAAACACAGCGAAAGGATGATGAAACCCACGGCCACAGAGGCGGCTGGGCGAGCTGGCAACTTCATTCACATTAACGTTTGTCACTTTGAGGGCAGCACGATCCCACAGGTGTGCACTGGCTCTGCCAAGGCCGAAGGGGCAGAAGGCAGCACTCGTATAGCAGTTACAAGCGCGAATACCTCACCGGTGGTTATTTGCTTAACATCTCCCCCAGAGAGGGAAACAAATACAAATTTTTGAAAACAAAAACCTTAGAGAACGAAAGAGAAAAATACAGCGTCTGTGCGGGTGGGGGGGTTGCTGCCCCATTCCGTCCCTTGGCTCCGCCGCGGGTGGCGGCTGCCAGGCCCCGCTCAACTCACCCGTGCCACACACCGACCCCTCTCTGAGGCGGCCGCGTCGCCGCTCTCCCGCCCAACCACCCCGCGCGCGACACGGCGATGTTGCCCGTTGGCGGGT